ACACACAGACACACACAGACACCCCACACAGTAATACTGTGATGCCCCTGAGGCAACGTTGGACTGCACGCAGGGAAACCCTTGTTGGATTACAGCAGAGCAAACCACACACAGCGGGGAGAGGGAGGAGAAGAAAAGCAGGATGAAGGGGGAAGGACAGTAGGAACAGAAAAGAGGACCGAGGAGGAGGAGGAGGAGGAAGGCAGGATGGAGGTAGTGTTCTCACAGATGAGCAGCCAGGCCTGTAATTTCCCTCACCTAAGACAGCGCCAGGGATGTTAATGATGCTAGAGCAGATTCCTGCAGGCTGCTACAAGGTGTTAAACGTATGCCAGCTCTCCTCAGTCCCACACACTGCCAAACCCCAACACTGCCTCAGTCTGATGTTCCCTGTTGCTTCAAATACATTCTGCTGCTCCTCCCTGAAGACAATAAGCCTGCCCGCTTACATCTTCCCGACGGACCAGCGATCACAGACGATATATGTTTAGTGTGTGATCGTGTCATCATACAGGTTGTCAATAGCTTCATTTCCACTAGGGACTAGGAACTAGTTTGGTAGTTTGGTTTCCACTGCAGGGACCGGGGTCTAAATTAAGATCCAGGGACATTTCACCCACCAGAAAGTCCCTGCTTGGGGGTGGTACTTAAAAAAAATGAAAGGAACTTTGGGGGTAGGGCTTGCCAGTTAGTTTTTTGTTCATTGTGCTTCAACACATCGTCATGGAGTTAAAGAAGAAAGAATACAACAGATAGACTATGACAATGTCCAGGCATAGACTGTGGGGGGAAACGCAGAGAACAACAGGCTGTAGGAACCTTTTCAACACTAACACTTCTGGTTATTTTGGATAGAAATGTGGCACCTCAGGTTGAAGTAGGGCTGCATCTAATGCCTGTTATCATACCCATCAATCCTTTATAAAGTTGTATCTTTGTCAGAAAATAAGAAAAGTTCTTAGAGCCCAACAGGACCAAGAGTCAGAAACCTTACGATCTTCAGTGTACAATAATAGAAAACAGAGAGGACCAGCATATCCTCCATTTTTGAAGCTTAATAAATGAATAACATGTTATTTTCTACTTATTAAAACTGCTGTCAGCTAAAGTTTTGTCAAGATGAATTGCTCCCACTCTAGTCTGAAAATGTCAATTTTTCCAAATATGCCCAATTTTGCTTGACAAAATGCAATTTCTCCCTCTACGGTGAAGTTCAGATGGTTTTCCACTAAGCCTATAATACGCAAAGCGAGGCCTGTTTATTTGTATACAGCAAGGCAATTCAAAGTGCATTACATAAGACAGAAAAGGCATTACGAAAAGACAAGGCAATATAAAAACAACATAAAAAGACATTCAAATAGGATTTAAGAGTAAAATCAAATAGAAGATAAAAATAAGCTGAAAGCAAAACAAGACCTGATCCCAGACCATCTGAGAGGTCTGGATGCTTCATAATGGAGCAGCAGATCAGAAATGAAATGCTTTATAAACCATAGTAGGATTTAAAAGTCAATTTTTAACAGGAAGTCAGTGTAAATATCTGAGAACTGGACTGATGTGATCCACTCTCCTGGTTTTAGTGAAGACTAGCAGCACTGTTCAGCTGCTGCTGTACTCTGATCCACTTTCTAGAGAGACCTGTAATCCTTCATTTTCCCCCGGGGATCAATACAGTATCCATCTATCCATCCATCCATCTATAAAATGTAGGTCTGAGTCCATGACTACACTAAAGATCTCTGGTCTGGTTTGTGGTCTTTAACACTAGCAACTGAAGCTGAGCACTGACTTTTAATCTTTGGCTCCTAAAACAGTGATTTCAGCTTTTAAATGAATAATCTGGCACATCCAATCACTGTGCACATGCTCAGTGCTTGTATGGGACCATAGTCACCCAGCATTCATTGGGAAAACAACATTTACTAAACCTTAGCTGGCTGATCAGAGATGATAGATTATTTTGGAAGCTTGAAGCAAATGCAACGTTATTTGAAATCATATGTGCATTTCCCGAGGCTATTTGACTCTTTAATGGTAAACGTCTGGTACGTCGAGGTATATTTAGCTTTTCTTTGTAATTCATTTTACTACATATTTCAATGTTAATGTTTACGTTATTCAAATTCAGAGCTTATCACTTATATTTACTTTGTATGTGAATATGTTTCATTTACATGATTGGAGACACTACTTCACCACGACACCTCCCACCCACACATACAGTATAATATTGCAAGTACTGTTAAATGACAATCAAATAGTGACTATTATTAGAAAAGCAGAGCTGAAACACAATGTTCCAACAATATTGCAGCTTTAATAGATCACTGCAGCAGCTAACATCATTATTCCCTCTGAGGACTCCAGTCTCTCTCTCTCTCTGTCTCTCAAACTGAGCGATCGGCCCAGATCGACTCCCAGCTCTTTGTGTGTGTCTGCATGAGAGACCAAAAGATATACTAACCAATAGTACAGTTGGAGGTGATTCTCCTCCTCTTGGGGTTGTGGCGGAGCAGCTCCAGCTCCCTCTTGGTGGGCTCCCACGTTGAGTATTTCTCCCCTATGCCTGAAACACACAACGCACATTCAAATGATCGCACGCTTCCCTCTTCTTCCCTTTCTAGTTTTAGGAAAGACATTGCCAAGATGTAGATAATAAGGTCTAAAATGACTGTGATAAAACATTTCAGTTCCATGTTTTGAGTGCAGTTTCACAATTTGTTAAAGTTTAAAAAGCTGTAACACGAGAGACGTCATACAACTTTAGCGTGTTGTGTATGCCACTGTGTGTTGTTAGGCTGTGTGTGTTTAACGCCGTCTTACCTTGTATTTTCCAGGCCTTCCTCTGTTCCTCTTTGGCAATCTGTTCCATGTCTTTGTCATAAATGTAGTCTTGGCACATAAAACAGTAAATTCCTCCGTACAGCAGGTCAATAGCTGGAAAGAAACAAAAAAATAAATCCACAACGCATGAGAAAGCGGTTTTATTCAAATGCAGGGACATTCACTTTATCTGTTAGTCAGAGGGTGAAAAAGCTCAGCGCGTCGCTGCGAGCTGTGTGAACTGCTAACTGCTTCATCTCGCAGTCTTTTTCTATTCAGGCCACGTTGCCATGGAGCTGTGATGCCAGGTAGCCGGGCTTATCTGCTGACATATCAGCTATCTGTTAACACCATCCAGGAACAACGGAGAGACACCTCGTGAGCCGGAGAGAGCAATGAGAAGTCAAAAGGTGAGGAGGGAGGGAGGGAGGGAGGGAGAGAGGGAGAGAGGGAGAGAGAGAGGGAGGGAGGGAGGCGCCTGCCTCACTGTGCAATCTTTCACCGTCACATGCTCACTTAAATGTTCAAAAGCGTCCTTCCACTCCCTCTCTCCTCACCTGCTCTGTACCCTGCAGCTACCTGTTTGCTGTTGCCATGACAACCTGCCTGCCGGTTACTCCCGCGCTGTCATCCTCTGCAGGTATGAAAAGGGAAAAGAAAGAAAGCAGCAGGACAGGATGGAGGTAGGGAGGGGAAGGAAGTACACTGAAGTACAGAACTTCGCTGGACTGATGACAGAGAGAGAGAGAGAGAAAAGAAAGAAAAGACAGCGAGAAAGTCGAGGCTGATGGCACAAGTGCAATTAGATGAAATGCCTTTTACAATTCTGAATATCGAATGGGTCATCAGGTAACCATGGGAACAAGAGGATGGCAAAAGAGACGAGGATAGAGACAGAGGTGAGCCCGATGCGAGGCTGCAAACAGCACTTGTTGTTGGATGAAAGAGATGGCCCGGCAAGAAAGAAAGGAGGAGGAGAAGCAGGAAGGAGGAGGGGCCGCGGGTTTAATGGAGGCTAATTCCACAGGGTTTGTTAAAGACGACTTAATTACCTCCTCACCAGTCTGCTGAGATCTGTCCCTTTTTTTAAAAAGAATCTTTTCTCTCTCCCCGTGTTACGCCGCTTCTCGCTCTATTTTTTGCAGCATTCGATTCAGGAGCTAACCTAATTAAACTCACAATCACACTCAGTGGGAAACACACACGCACACACAGACACCGGAGGGGGGTCTTCCTGAGCTCAGCGATAACGCCGAGCAAAGGAGTCTTCAGAACAACAAACTGGCAGATTGTCAACATCTGCCAAACCCAGCCTTTTGTCACGGACACCCCGAGTATCTCTGCTGCGGCACCGCTCTGCTCCGAACACACCGCAGTGGAACGGGCTTCACTTGCAGCCCCAACAGCCCAAATTCTATTATGTGGGGAATAAAAGAAGAAAAGCTACCGGGTATAAAGCTGGTATCGCAGCATTTAGTCTAACAGGATGATGGCTTGTGTTGAATATAATATGCTGTTTGCAGTATCTTTTCAACCTTGCCTCTTAAGTCTTTTTTTATTGTTTATTGTTTTGTTGTTAAACAATAAAAGGTTGTAGAAATGTCTGCGTACGTGTTGGTACACTACAGCTCTATGCAGCTTCACCCTCAAAAACAATGCCCCTGTTCCAAAGGTGCCCCGCTCTAAACGTCTCGGCATGTTGCTTTATCGCAGCGTTAAATATTAGGGCTGTAAGAAAGTACTGAAACATATCGGATCCCAATATTTTATGCATAAGGTGGTGTGTTTTTATACTATGACCTAAAATTTGGTTTATTAAAATCTCCATATATCACAGTATTTTGAATCGTAACCCATGTATCGTGGTACGTATCGTATCAGCAGATTCTTGGCAGTAAACTGCCAAATTCAATATATTGCGATTATGTATCATTTTTAGGAAAACTGTCAGAGTAGGAACTGCACACCAACATACGCATAAAAGCTGAGTAGCTTTTTTTTAATGCAACCGGAACAGTGGGATCTGCATTCGTATGATCACAGAACATCATAGTCAGTTTACGTTTACAACACTGATGTCTAGCGGTTGGGGGTCTGAATACAAAAAGCGACAGTGTTTTTGAGAATCAATACAACATCACAAAATAAGATATTTTCAATACTTTCTTACAGCCCTAATATTTAACCATAATCCCTGTATGGTGATACAATAATACCCAATACCCAGCCCTACACTCATTTTACACAGTGACTGATTCTGTTATATTGTTACAAATCGTGGTACTACATTTTTAAACATTTTCCTCACACACTTATTCGAGTGTGTGCTGGTGTGACCTCCATGTAATGGATATGACAGTAGAGGACACACTCGGAGCAAACTAAGCTCTATGTTATATGTACATTACTTTAAGGCTGGCATGTACATCGAAAGCGATATATCTGTAATAAGCTAATATGGGCTGATATATGGGTGCAGCTGATTTATCGCTCTAGCTCTATTTAGAGGTCGCAGTGCACCATCTAGTTGAGTGAAATAAATGGCAAAGAAGCCTCAGGAGCTGAACAACCACTGCTCGAGTGCCTCCACTGCTGTATCCAGTACCAATTAAAATGCATTATTTGCTGCTCATGTGTAGTGACTTTCTTTTATACAAGCCTAATCCCACTCTTATTTTGTAGTGGGCTATGTATACGCTATATGTATCTGAGAGCACCATTCTAAGCTCAAGTCTGTATATGGAAGCAGTGTGACTCACAAAATAGAGCTAGGAGATGATTCAGCATTGACTTTAAGTGTAATCACATTGTAATCATGTGATTGAGTTGCGTTGCACATACTTGCAAAATCATGACTTACAGAACAATGATAATAATAAAGGAAAATAATGAATAAAAACGACTACGGGAGATTGTGCAGCAACATTTTAAAACAGCACTCTCTCTCTCTCTCTCTCTCTCCATCATGGAAACAGCAACTAAGAGGAATATCTTCCCTCCAGTAGAGTTCCAGAGACTTGAAGAATCTATGTCAAGGAGCATCAAAGCTGTTCTGGAGGCTTCACATTCAGCAGTTGTTTAACTGGGTGGGATCAGGGAATACACAGCAATTTTCTCTGCAATAATTCAGTGATTTATTGCAGGCCATGTGTCCCTGTGGGAGTAGCATAGATGGGGAAAAACAGCCAACTGTTCTTGGTGTTCAGCAAACACCCACGTCTTTTGTTCAAATCTGGAGCCGTCCAGATTGCGTCTGTTTGATGCAAATATTTAATTCAGTGAAGTGAGATGCAACTTGTTTTCCCCCCCATTTCTCACCGCGAGCGCTCGCCAACAAAGCGACCTCGGTGTGAGCTGTGGTGAGAAGCACAGTGCTTTTCTGAAAATAGAAGCCGTCTCAGTCACTTTTAAAAAGGAAAAATATTTCAACAAATCCAATGCGGATTATCGCTGAGATCACTGACGTGCGATGTTGTATGTTACCTTCGCTGACCTGGAATAATAATCCTGTCAAAACAAAGGCAAATCTCCCGTTGGGTGTTCTACCCCATAAACACACACACACACCACTGAACGTTTGGAAAGGTTTTTTTCTGGAGCAAGCTGATTGTTAAACAGGGATGTGCACCCTATAAAGTAGATTCTTAGGTGCTTATTTTGAAATCAGCAACACAGACCTCAGTCCTTATTCATTAGCAAGTTCACTAATGCATATATTCCCTCTAATGGAGTACATGAGGCCAAACACACAGGTGACATTCAAATCCCCCACGAGGCCAAGCCTGTGTTGCAATTATGTTGCACCGGGTTGCGTAATAGCTCGCCGTGTCCCTCGATCAGTTTGCTTGATTAAATGCATCACAAAGCCTCAAATAGTCCAATACGTAACTCAAAGCTGACCTTAAATACACACACACACAC